TAGCCTAACTTAGACTTAGACTTAGACTTTATTGATCCCTTGGGAAGACTCCCTCAGGAAATGAAGATTACCAGCAGCTTACAGGGCAACAAAGTATTATCAGAATCAGAATCAGAAATACTTTAATAATCCCAGAGGGAAATTATTTTTGTTACAGGCTCCATAAGCAAAACAAAGGCATATACATACAGTATGTACATGTTTATACATATATACATATATATATACAAAATTCCTCATAAATATAGCTAGATATATACATAAAATAAAAAAAATAAATAAAAAAAATAAACAAATAAATAAATAAATAAATAAATAAATAAAATAAAATTAAGCAAAAAAAAAGCAGCTGTCTCTGACATAAGCTGAAGCCATTCCTTGATTTCTGGTCTATGTGGACTGAATGTCTGTGTATATGTCCATTTACATCAATGTGGTCATCAATCTGTACAACGCCTCCCTCTGAGAGTCAAACTAAGTTATTGACATTATCCACCACTTATTTTGACCTATGTATATACATATAGTTTTGTATATGTATATATCTATCTATATCATATGAGGAATTTTGTATATATATATATGTATATATATATATATACATATATATGTATATATGTACAGACATGTATACGTATATGTATATGCCGCTGTTTTATTTATGGAGCCAGTAACAAAAATAATTTCCCTCTGGGATTATTAAAGTATTTCTGATTCTGATTCCGATTTACGAAGAATAATTCTGTCTGCTAACAGAAAACCTGCCATCTTTAGTCTACTTCCAGCTTTTGGGATCTAGAATCAATGACTTGTTTCCTAAAAGGCTAAATTGTGCAGACTCTGGTGGAGGTTGACTATTCCAGTCCTCTAATTTTTTCAAGAAACGGGGCATTTTCAACGGACACTCCCATTCTCTCTCTCTCTCTCTTGAAGGTCCCGATCCTTTGTGTGAATATTTTGTGTAATGGGGCTGCTTTTATGGGGAGAAAATGACCGGATGTGTCAGCAGAATTATTGCTGTTATTGATTCTGACGGCTTTATTCAACAGGCCGAGGGCTCAATCCTACAAGAAATCCCCCGGTTTTTGTTGCCCCGCCCACAGAAAAAAGGGGGTTTTAGCACCTGTGAGGAATATAAACCAGGTGGAGCCAAAACAGAAGCTGGAGTTTGGGGCAAACTGAGTGTAAATACATTTGCTGAATAGAGATAAACTGTCTCTGATATAAAAAATTTAACAGAAAAACTCAGTTTTCCATTCGTTGGCTGAATTATCTTGCACTTTTGTTTTTGTTTTATTTGGACTTTTTCTGTTCTTTTAATCAATTTTCTGTCCAATCACACATTTGAATTTCTTTTATTTTTTAAAGATAATTTAATCCTAATTCCTGGCTTACATATAAACTTGCCTTGGTTTACTAGTTTAGTTCTACAGTTTGCAGAAAGCGAGTCATTTTACAACAATTTCTGGCAATCATCTTTCTTCTAATAAAGAATAAATTGACACGAAAATGTTGAAAAAGAGACAACCTGGGTAGGAAACATGGAGACACATGCTCTTTGGAACAAAGAGAAAAAAAACACGCTGGTGAAAAAAATCCAATTTTAGTCCAATCACACATTTGAATTTTTTAATTATAAAAAAAAACATATATATATATATATATTAATGGCTTACAAATTAACTTGCCTTGGTTTGCTAGTTTAGTTCTACAGTTAGTAGAAAATGAGGCATTTTATGAAATAGGACAACAATTTCTGGCAAACATCTTTCTTCTAATAGAGAATAAATTCACACACACACACACACACACACACACACACACATATATATATATATATGTGAATAAATTCACAAAAGAGAAGCCTAGGCAGGAAACATGGAGATACATGCTCTTTGGAAAAAAGAGAAAAAAGAAGCTGTTGAAAAAATAGAAACCAATACACTTGTGAGTAAAAAGGAAATGCTAAGCTCTTAATAGCATGGAAATGTGGCCTGTGGTGACCCGGGGATCATTAATAACCTGCAGCTCTGCGTCTGAGCCGCTACGTCATTGAAACGAGCTAAATCTACTTTAATGGCGGCCATAAAAACGACATCCGCTGTGCTTAAACTGCTGATTTGTCACCTGAATCTTTCCCCCATCAAACAGGAACCACAAACAGATCACCGGGTCAGAGACCGGCCAAGAATCACCAAAAGAGAGAAAAACGCAGAAAAATGGCTTGTAATTTATACTGTGTTGCCTTTAGATAATTTTATATTTAATTGTTAAGAGATTCCCCCCCCTGAAATAGTTTCACTGGAATGATAAACTGGATTTGTGGCTGTTTAAATCTTTTTAAACAAATATTGACTTGACTATCCTTTGCTTGAAATCTCCAGAAGGTAAATTATTTATTATGTACTTGTTTTTTACTGAATAATGAATATATATTGGTTTTTTTTTGTTAGTTTTTTACTGAATAGTGAATATATATATAAATAT